GGAGGGAGGGGCGGGGCCGGGCCGGGACGAGCCCACACGGGGCGGGAGCGGGACCTGGACCGGCACCGGCATTCCCTCGCCCCGTGCGGATGCCGGTGCCGGTCCCGTGAGTTGCGCATCCTTTCCCAACCGAGCGGGTGCAGCTCACCGGCTCGATGTAGGGCCCTTTGCCCCCCACCAGCCCTGCAGAAGGGCCAATTGGGACACAGACTGGTACCGGTTTCCCTTTACTGGTTGGATGGGTGAAAAGCCAGCAGCTTGTAAGCAAGTCTATGGCGTGTAAGCACTTGTTAAGGGAAATTATGGTCATAGGAAGGGAGGTGACTGGTGTTTCCAGATGGAGCTGGTGGGAACAGGAGAGTTTCCCCAGCTGGAGAAGATGCCGATGGAAGGGCCAATTGGGACACAGACTGGTACCGGTTTCCCTTTACTGGTTGGATGGGTGAAAAGCCAGCAGCTTGTAAGCAAGTCTATGGCGTGTAAGCACTTGTTAAGGGAAATTATGGTCATAGGAAGGGAGGTGACTGGTGTTTCCAGATGGAGCTGGTGGGAACAGGAGAGTTTCCCCAGCTGGAGAAGATGCCGATGGTCTTGTAAAGCCATGGAGGGCCTGATCCCCGCCCTGTTGGGAAGTGGCTGCATTCCCACATGTGCGCAATTCCCGTCTGCAGCTTGTGGCATTGGGCTCATGTAGATGTTTGGCTTTGATCTGGGATACAAATAAACCTGCCAGGACTTTGGGCCAACTTTGAAGAGAAGGTCCTGGCTTTCTGCTTGAGGCTGGTAGGTCTCTGGAAGGAGCAGAAGGAGGCTTTTGGGGCAATTGCTGCTTGCTGCTGCTCAGCGGTGGCCTGAGGCTGCAGAGGAGGAGCAGGTGGCGGTGTAGCATGGGGGTCCTGGCCCTTGACTGGTCCTCGGAGATGCTGCTACAGCACTGGCCAAAAACGATAATGAGGGGCAAGGGGCATCACTCTAGCCCTGTGGCTGGGACCACGCTGAAGTCCCAGGGCAGTTCAGGCAGTGCCATATCTGCAGCTCTGGGTCAGCATCAGAAAGACCCGAGGGTCAAGAGTTCCTCTTCCCGATGTAAAAGGATGGGGTGGCGTTTCCGCAGTGGAAACACAGTTCTAAGGAGTTTGACTCCAGGGCTGCAGCTCACGATGCTGATGCTTGGAGAGTAGTGTCAGCACCCAGCAGCCCGGGAGGGGACAGGGACGGTGACAGGACAGCCTTCCCCAACGACTGCAGCTTGCCCTGCCTGCCAGCCATCCAGGGTGGCTTTGCCAGCTCTGAAGGAGGGTGCTGTTGTGGGATGGGGAGTGCTGTGAAATGACACGTGATGCCAGAGCTGTCCTTCAAGTTCTGAGAGGACCTCACTGATGGGTCGAGGAGAGAGCAGAGGGTCTTGGCTTCCCCGTTCTCTTTCTGTGCAAGCTGGTGGGAGGCTACCCTGTTTGCATCCCAGCCCACCCCAAAAATCAAACCTGGGACCTCACGGCAGCGAAGGGTGGTGGGTGCCCAGCACACTGCAGAAACCATCCTGGAGCATTGTGGAGATGGGCTCGGGGATGGTGCTACCACTCCACAGACTGACCCTGCCAGGGGAGAGCCACTCTGTGGTTTTATCCCCTTTGTTGGTGCCTTCTATGGTAGCAGCAGCAGTGCCTGCCTGCTTTGCTTCGAGTGCTCATAATGAATTGCTGTTGGCACCTGGATGGCTCTTTGCTAATGTAAACCTCCTCCCGCCCCTCCAGCTCATCGCTCAGAACTGCTGGATCCCTCTGGGTGCTGTGGCTTGTGGAGGGAAGGTGTGGGGGTCTCCCCAGGCTCCCTTCCCTAGCATGAGGGGTGCTGGGTCTGGTGGTGGGTAGGAGC